TATCCCACAGATAGCTGAGGCTGGCTGCCTTTCCTGTGGTGGGGACTGTTGGGGGTTAATACCATCGGAGCCCCTAAGAACCTGGGTGGGGGTTGGGGGGGGAGAAGAAATGGGTCATGGGGAGGGGAGGGGTTTGTTGGAAGATGATTTTAATGCTGAAGAAAAGCTCTGTGGCAGACAACTCTCCTCTCTCACCCACTCACCCACCTCCCTAACATGATTTCGCTTCCTTTTTCTAATCATAACCCTTTCCCCACCTAAATAAAAACTCTAACCACGCTCAGACAGTAAATCATTTAATAAATGTGTGTTGAATTGAGGGAGAGGGAGCTGCCTCTAGGATGCCTTAATTCAGGGCTGCTTCACCTTGTACTAACCAACCACTTTGAGTACCCGCACTCCCCATGAATTGAGCAAAAGGAGTGTCTCTGGACCAGGCTCTTCCTGCCCCCCCCCCACCAACCACACCCCTAGCAGTGGGCATCTCTGTGGCTGCACTCTGGGGCCCTGTCATTTGTGGTCAGCTGTTGGAAGCTCTGACCCTAGGGGTTGAGTAGGGGGAAGGGACTGAATTATCATCTCCTCCCCTTTCCTTCCCCCTCCCCCCCCCAGGGTGGGGCAATGCCAGCCAGGACAACCTGGCCCTGGCCAGGGCCAAGACTGTGTTGAAACAAGAGGCTAATTACGCTGCTGAAACTGGCATCTAAAAATACAGCAACAGGGCCATGTGTGTGCTGTGCACATGGAGGGCAGAGACAGCGGGGTGGGGGTAGTGGGGAGGGGAGAAACTGAGACTTAAAGAGGGAAGCAGTGATTGAGATGGAAGGAAAAGACTGTCATAGGAAGCTGGCAGGAGATGTTAGGGTGGGTGGGGGAAGGAGTGATGGAGAGATGGAGGAGAAGAAACACTGGAGAGAGAGAACCAGAGGAAGAAGAGGAGCAACAGAACAGAAGAAGAGGCCAAAGTGGGAAGGAAGGTAAGGTGGCCTTCCATGTCAGAAGGGATAGATTGAAAAGAAGGTGGGTGGGTAGGTGGGTGGACCCAGGAAAGAATTCGTGCCCTTGGGAGGGCTGAGATGGAGCCAGAGGCCCAGCTAGGGTCACTGGGATCCAGGCTGGGTGAAGGATGGCAATGACAGAGGAAGAGGTGCAATGCAGAAGAGTGATTAGATGTGTTCCTGCTTGGCCACAGAGCGTGCAATGAGAAGCAGTGTGGAGAAGTTTCAGAGAGGCAGATCTAGGCTTACTTTAAGGAAAAACTTCCTAACAATTAAGAGCTCTCCAAGATCCAGAGGAATGTGCTGCCTTAGGAAGTAGAGGCTTCCCTTTTGTCAAAGGTGAGGTGACCACTTGTAGTGGATGTTGCACAGATGTCCCTGTATGGATTGTACTCTTAGATGGCCTCTGAGCTTTCTTCCAGCTCCAAAATTCTGTGATTCTGTGAGAGGGACTGAGTAGTCATTAGGGGGTATGAGAATGCAATGGGGCTGTAGATAAGGCCCTGAGGTTGTTTCCCCTTGTGTACTTGTCAGCCCAGAAAATCCTGCATGACCCTCTTAAGCCCATTCCAGAGGCCAGGCAGAATATGGCAAGGAGAGGGACAGAAAATCAAGGTTTATCCCTCTCACCCAGAGACAAAATCTTAGGCTCTAAGATCTCTGAGGCACCAGTTATTTAATTCAAACTCCCACCCAGCCCAGAAATTCCTTCTAATACACTCCAGACAGGTGCCCAGTATCTACTTAAATACTTTAAGAAGTGACCAGAAACTTGTTATCTTAACATGGCAAATCCATCCCATTGGGACCAAGCTGGAAAGGGTATCAGCTGTGGACAGAGGATTGAGGCTTAATCAATGGTCAGCCTAGAATATAAACACAAGGAGAAGCCCCCTATCCTAGGAGGACTGGAGTAGCTGATCGGGTCCAATCTGACCCACAATCAAAAGGATGTTCCAAGGCTTGGACATTTTGTCTTCTCTTTTATTCTGGTTCCGTAAGTATGGTAGAAACTAGGAGACTAACACAAGTGCCCAGCACTGTTGTTGTTTTTGGTAATTTCAGTTGTGTCCAATTCTTCATGACCCCATTTGGGGTTTTCCTGGCAAAGATACTGGAGTAGTTTGCCACCTCCTTCTCCAGCTTATTTGACAGATGAAGAAACTGAGGCAAACAGGGTTAAGTGACTTGCCCAGGGTAACACAGCTAGTAAGTGTCTGAGACCATATTTTAACTGACGGAGATGAATCTTCTGACTGTAGATCCAGCACTCTATCTACTGAACCACTTAGCCTCCCAAGTTTCCAACACACCTGGGTACAAACAACACATGTTCATTGAGTAACTACTATGTGCTCAGAAGTATGCTAGCCATGCTGAAGGAGATGAATGGGTGCCTGCTTTCAGGGGGCTTACAGACTAGTTGAGGAAAGAATACATGAAAAGAGTACATTTACCATCTTGTATTCTTAGCTTTGGTGCCAAGTTTAGTGGTACCATCCAGTGATTACCATTAGACTTCAAAGGAAGGAGAGATTACTGGGGACTGAGGTCATTAGGGAAGGCTACCTGAAAAAGTGGGTCTTGAACTGGGCCTTGCAGAATTCAGGCCCAGGGAGGACAGAAGGAGGACTTTGGAGAAGAAAGCATTAGTAAGGGCAAAGAAGAGGAAATGTAACTTTTTTTTTTGAGGGAACAAGAATGAATGAAAGAATGAATGAATGAAGCATTCAAGTATTTATTATGTACCAAGCGCTAAGTGTAGGAGATACAAATATTTTAAAAAGAGATAGTCCCTGCCCTCAAGGAGCTTACATTCTAAGAGGGGAAGATATGACATCCAGAGCAGTGGTGAGCAGGGAATGGACAGATGGGGTAGTGATATGTCCATAATGGCAGGCAGATGGTGAGATAACCTGGGTAGATGTGAAAGTCAAGAATGATCTGGGGTCTAAAGTCAGCCAGTAGGTATAGTAAGCAGAAGGGCTAGCATCTATACAGCCAGTTACCACAACACTCAGTTGGGTCCTAGGTTTGGGGCTTCAAAGAATGGAGCTCCTTATGAGCCGGGTATTAGGTCTCAGATCTGGGATGGAGTAGGTCATCAGAGGCAGGCAGAAGGTGAGATGGCCTGACTGGATGGCTGGATGTAATGGGAAACAAGCATAGTAAAGAGGAAGGCTGGATTGGAGGGTTTCTCTAGGGGACTGATGGAGGGATAAATTAGAGAGGGAGGTTCAGGAGCCAGGTCTTACATGCTGGGAACAAGGTGTTCCTACCTGCTTCTTGCAGAGGGGTTCAGAAATCCAGGTGACGTCAGTCTTGTAAATGGTGGCCACTCAATTTCCAGGTTGCTCCCACTTCCTCCTGGAAGTTTTCCAATCTACAGGGATGCCCCCTCCTGTCTTTCCAGAGCAATGTCAGGCCCATCCAGATCTGTACTGCTCCCTTGTTTCAGTGGCCGTATCTCTTCACCTAAGGCTAGGAGCTCCTGGATGGGAGGAGCCATCTCATGCTTATTCTGGATCTCCCAAAACATAATCAAATATAGGCCTAGACACATAGTTGGGATTCCAACTATTGATGAACTATTGATGATTGCCTTGATCCCAAACCTAGACATAACCTGAATGCTTAACAACATAAGAGTCTAAAGTGCCGGAAGGGACCTCAGAGGTCTAGTTCAACTCCTGAGTAGGAATCTCCATATACCTGGGTTATATGGCTGTCCGGTCACCCGTTGAACACCTCCAGTGAGGGGGAACTGTTTCTTAAGCCAGACCAGTCTACTTTTAGACAGTTCTATTTAGTAAGTTCTTCCTTAAATTGGGCCAAAATTTGCCATTCTGTAATATCTACCCATCGGTGCCAGTTTGCTCTTTGAGGCAAAGCAGAAAAAAAATCATGGACATCCGCCCATGAAAGGAAGGGTTGGTTCCAAGGCATTAATTACTGAGAGCAATGTGACTTTGGGCAAGTCACTTAACCTCAATTGCCTCACTAAAAAAAAAAAAAAGAATTAAGCACACCCCAAGCCTGGTCCACTTCTCTCTAATCACCAAGACACAGTTAATCTTTGAATTGAATTTTAAATTGGATTGTAGCCACATTCTCCCCTCTACTCCCCCCTCCCTTCCCACCCCTGATTAGGGATCTTTTGAGGCAACACTGGCAATTCAGCTCCTACTTGTGCCTAGGGCTATCAAGGTGGGTAGGAAGTAGTGATATGCCTTTAGGGTTTGGAGGTAAGCAGACAGGCGGCTAGAAGTGAGGTATGAAGGGACTGAAGAGCAATGCAGAAAATTGTTACAGCACAGAACCGAAGGCAGAGAAGTAGGTGGGCGGTAGTAAGACCCTAGTACTGGGGTTATCAGTTCTCCCCACCATAAGCTAACAAGATAGAGTGGAGCAGAGGCAAGCCAAGGCCAGGACGGCCCTGTCCAGGCAGATGCTGAGCACAGTGGGGATCATTGCTTACAATGGGACATCCGCAAAAGGGGTTTCCTCCTTTTGGAAAGCATCCATTCGGTGCTAGCTGGACCCCAGTGACAAGAGCCAACCCCACCCCCACCTGGGGGATCTTCACTGCCCTGAAATCTCCCCATCGGGCATCAGTTGTTGGGGAGTGGCCAGAAGTCAGCCCAAGCCCTGGAAAACTGGTTGCTGCGACTGCCACCCTGTGGCCCCCCTCTGGAGGTGCAGTGCTCTTGAGGTCAGGCTAAATCTTCATCTTCTGAGGTGGAGGGCAAGATTTCTGACTTGAGTATGAGGCCCTTCTGGGCCTTGGCTATTTTCTACTCCCTTGAAAAGAGTAGGCAGCACAGGCCTGAGGTTCCTCTTCGTCTTAAGATGAAAACACTATTATCTTAAGGCGTAAAGGAAGCACAGGAGGGAAATAGGGAAGATCTTTGAAATAACCAATTTTTCAAAAAGAGGACCTGCTGGGGGAGATGAAGAGAAGCTAACCTTGAGGCTTTGGAAAGAAAAAAAGACAAAAACAGAGAAGAGAAAATTCCATGTATTTATTTATCAAAACCATTACAAACTTGGTCATACACCAACCAACACACATATACACACATACAAACATATACACATACATACATATAACCCCCAGAAGAGGCCTGTCAAGTAACATGGGAAAGGAGATGGAATGATCAAAGCTGGGCCTGGGATGGAGGGTAAAAGAGTTGGCAAACAGGAATTAAGGCTCCCCCTACCTCCTAACCATTAAGGGTTAGGGGTAAAAGATGATGCCAGAAAAAAAGAAAAGATGGGCAATAAATAACCCTCAGGTCAAAGCATGAAGGAGGGATTACTTTGGCATAACAAAAAGAGAAACTGGGCAATGGCAACTTGGTCTAAGAACATGTGACCCCCATCCCCACCCCTGAGCCAGGAGTAGGTGCTGGTCAGGGCTGAGTGCAGGGTTTCTCAGGCAAGCAGTCCAGGCTGGCAGGTTAGGGGACTAGGACCCTCTTGAGTCCAGCATAGGCACTTAGATGAGCAGAGGATGTTAGTGAGGGAGAGGGCATTGAGGTAAGGAGAGATCATATGGGAAGAGAGGAAAACCATCACAAAAAAGGGGCATTTCTGCCTTTTCCAGTGTCCACAGACCCAACATCCTCTCCTCAAACCTCCCCTCCACATCAAGAGAGGAGGGTGTCAGAGAAGGGACAAGGTCGCTGGAGGTAGAAGCGGAATGGGAACAGACTGGCACTAGCTGTCCAGGTCTGATGGGGCTGCCTTCTTCCGAGTTCGAGACTTCAGGGAGCGTGAGGTGCCCTGTGGGGGAGGGGAGAGGAGACATAGGTGAGAAATGTGTATCCATCAAAGACCCTTGCCCTCAGGCAGTTCAGCTGTGCAGTTCAGTGGGTCTTCACTGGCTGTCCCCTCACCTCTCTCACAAGGGGCTTCCTCTTGCCGATTCGGAGGCTCTGGCTCCGTACCAAGGGCTTCTCCCTTGGACGGGGAAGGGTGTGGGCCTTTGTCTGGGAATCAGACCAACACTCATCTTCAGTGTCACTGTCCTGGAGGCCCCCAGGACGGTACCCTGGCAGAAGGAGAGAGAAAGTTGAGGGTTCCCATAAGCAGCTGTGTTTTCCTTTTTTATCAAGATTTCCCCAAATGACTTCAGATGCAAGGCACTGATTCTGAGATAAGAGGCTTTTCCCAGGACTCCCCCAAATCTAGGGATAGGGCCCTCGTATCACTCCCCTCAGCCCCAGCAGGACCTGTTCTCAAGGTGTGTCAGCAAAGCAGGCTAACAGTAACCATAAACAGCCGACGTTCCTATAGTACTTAAAGGTTTACAAAGCATTTTACATCTATGACCTTACCCAAGCCTCAGAATAATCCTGAGAGAACTACTATAAAATAGTATTACTCACATTTTACAGATAAGGAAATGGTGGGCTGGAGAGATTAAGTGACTTGCCTGTGGTCACACATCTATTAAAAGCCAAGAGCAGGTTCTGAATCTAGGTCTTCCTGACTCTACTCTAATCCTATCCACTTAGAAGTAATTTTGGCAACTCTATCCATTTAGAAGTGCCTTGTTACCCAGCCACAGCCCTGGTTCTCCCCTCCCTGCCCCTGCCCTCTCATACTAATGGGTGGTCTCCTGTGCAAATCCTGGTCCTCCAGGTAGAGGGGATCCTGATAGGATGGAGCAGGATTATCAGGGATGGTGCTCAGGTCCTGCATGGAGAAGCTCCGAAGCCTACCAGCGAGGGCACCCTGACTCTGCAGGGAAAGGAGAAAATGGTCACTAGGTATGCCGAAGGGAGGGCCTAGAGAGCCAACGTGAGCTCGGGGGCACCATGGGAGGAATCAGGAGTAAGATCAGAGCTGGAGGGATACCTAGGCTGGCAGGCATTAGATCCACTTCTGCCTAGGGAATGAGGGCACAGCCTAGGGTATTTGTGGGTATTTAGCTAAAAGCTGCCTTGGAGATCTTAGATGTAAATTTACTTGCCCAAGTGCATATAGCTAGTTATTGGCAGAAAAAGGATGAGAACCAGGATCTTCTGGGACCTAAGAGTATTACACCACAATTATGGCACCACAGAGTTAGAGCTAGAAAGGACCTTAGAGATCATCTAGTCCAAAGTCCTCTTGTTACAAGTGAGGAAACTGAGGCCCAGTGACTTAATGAATGAGTGATGGTAAGGACTGGAACTCAAGTTTGTGTCGGTATTCCAGGTCGAACGAATGCTTCCTGAGAATCCTTTCCTTGTGTGTCAGGAAACGGGGGCACCACCCAGCCCTGGGACCAAGTGGCCAGCCTGTGAAGGGCGAGTGGTCAGGCTGGCACCTTGGCAGCTGCCTGCACTGCGGCAGTGGCAGCGATGTTAAGACCTCGCTTCCCAAAGCTCAGCACTGTCTCGTAGCTCCGCTCCTTCGCCTGCACGATGTATGAGTCGATCTCCTAGGGACACAGGGAAGTCAAGGGTGAGAGAAGGGGAGGTGTCCAAGAGTCACATCAGCCCTTCATTTATTCAAGAGGCCACATTCTAGACACCAGTGACACCAAGGCAAAAACGAATCAGGTTTTCTCTTTATGAAGCAATTTACATTTTTCAGGAAAAAAAAAAAGAACAAAACCTCCTCAGGTCTGTATCTTTACACCAATATACCTGGTGTTGAGACCCTGGGAGAGAGGTAAACTGACAGTAGCCCTCAACCCACTGCACCTCCCTCCTGCCCTCAGGGTCTGTATGCTGCCTCAGGACTGTCTACAATGTATGGAGCAAGATAGAGGACACAGCCTGCTTCAAGGAGCTTCCATTCTGTGCTCCCTATGAAAGATCCTACTCTATCCCCCTCCCAGCCAGAGCCATGTGTAATATTTTGATATTTTCCACTGGATTCCACTAGGCACCCTCCTATACTCATTGAATCCTCATAACAATCTTGTGAGGCAGGAAGGACAGGGCTAGTGATTCCCATTTTTACAGATGAGTAAACAGAGGCACAGATATATTTTGGATAGTGCCTTGGCCAAGGTCAAACATCAAATCAGTGGCAGAGCTAAGGTTAGGACTCACTCAGGTCTCCTGAATCTCAGTTCAGTGCTTTCCCTATACCATTCAGTCTTTCTCCTACCTACCTTTTCCCGGGTAGGAAAGGGCTGGATGGATAAACTTCCTATAAAGCAGGCTGGCACCCTTGGTATAAGGGGAGAGGCCACACCACAAATGCCATCTTGATCTCATAATAGAAAGGGAACCTGTAAGAGAGGGTCAAAGGCAGGAAGGAATCAGGAGGGGGAGGAAGACAGCTCTGCCCAGTCCCAGTCCCTAGCCAACCACCATCCTCATACCAGGAAATGAAGATGTCCGTGAAGGTCTCTACTGTCATAAAGAAGGCAAAGACAATCCAGTACATCATCCATCGGACCTGATTGGGGTGGAGACGGGGATCACCAGGGTCAAACCTAGGCTGCCCAGCCTCTCTCTAATCCCTCCCCATTAGCCTCAGTCTGGTGGAGACATTCCATTGAGAAGCTGGTCCAGCTACATTCCCTCTACAGAGACTCATCCTCACTAGAACCTAGCACTATTTCCTGTACTCCCACTCCACAGACATCATCCTCCAGAAGATGGTGTTTCCTCTACAGTAACCGGTCAGTGGTCTATAGATGGTCGATATCACTGCCATCCCCCACCACCAACTTGTGATCACAGCTGACATTTATATAACATTTACAGTTAAAAGGTGCTATAAATTATCCCAAATGTCATGAGTAGTACCAGAATTATTTTCTTCATTTTACAGATGAGGACACTGAGGTTAGGCCCAGTGAGGCAATTTGCTCACAGCCAACTAGTAAGTAACAAATGGAGTCAAACTCAGGGACTCTGACTCCCAAATTTCCACTACGTTAGCCTGTCTCTCTCCCATCTCCTGCTTCACTCCACTCCCATGACGGTCACACTTCCATAAATGTGCCAAACTGCCCCCTACCAGACTGCTGTTCCAGACTAGCTACACCATCTGCCTTGCGTCCTGCCCCCATCACAAAGAGGTCTACACTCACATATTCCCGGATATTCTTACTCTTCACAGCTTTATAGGAGGCGTAGGCAGGATACAGCATTCCAAATACCAGCCTGGATGAGGGAGAAGAGGAAATCCAAGAGAAAGGCTCATCAGGGGCCTGACAGCCCAATTCCTTTATTTTACGGAGGAGGCAACTGAAGTTCAGAGGAGGGAAATAACGTGGGCAAGGACACACGGGGAGAGCTGAGGTTTGAAATGACATGACTCCAAATCTATGCTTTGGCCGATGTTATGGTCTCTAAGCTTAGACCCTCTGCTCCCTGCCCCCACCTCCCACATATTGACAGTGCCTTTGTTTCTGACTTGCACATCCAATGTTCCGGATTCCTGAGTCAGTGCCCTGAAGGCCCCCTCCCTGTCCCACTGCTTACAAACATCTCTGAAGCCTGCCCAGGCCTGCAGCGGCCTCCCACAGGGTGAGGGCATAAGGCAATCTGCCATGCTCAAGAGGGTGGAGAGAAGGGCCCGGGGTGGGGAGCAAAACTAGCAAAGACCTGGGAAGAACACGGGGCACTTGTTCCCAACCTCCTCTAACACCCATGGGCACCGACTTTGGTCCAGATTTGCAAGGGCAGAAACAGAGACCCTCACTTTCAGGCAGGGTGACCCTAGGGAGGGAGGGAGGGTGTGTGGGTGTGGGGTGTGTGTGTGGTGTGTGTGTGTGTGTGTGTGTGTGTGTGTGTGTGTGTGTGTGTGTCCCAAAGACCTGGGGGTGAGTCACGTGCTTACTCAGGCAGGAAGCAGGCACCTAGATTCTTGGCCCATGACGAACCCCTCTCCCTACTAACAACCATCAACTTGGGGATGCCCCCTACTTCCCATACCCCTAGCCTACAAGCAGGATCTAGTCCCTTTTTGAGGAGAGGAGTGGGGTGGGTTCCGGCTCGGCTCCACGGCGCACGTGGAGAAAGCAGCTCCTGGTGGTTTTGGGGCAGGTGTCGGGGGGGCGGCTGTCCGAGGGTCCAGGCCGCCCCCTCCCCACCCCCAGATCCCAATACTCACACCACCAATCGGGAGATCACCCAGGACACCATCCTGCCGGCTGTGGAGGGTGGGAGGGGGTGCGGTGCCCAGGGGAAGTCGAGGCAGGAGAGGAGGCTTCCAGGGGGCTGGGAGCTGCTGGGTGGAGAAGGGGTGCTCCGAGACGCCCGGCCGCTGCCCCCCGCCGGCTGGGGAGTGGGGGGCTGGTAGAGCAGGGAGAGTGGGGGTCACAGAAACGGAGTGCTCGGGCTCGGCTGCTCGCAGCGCAGCACCGGCCGCCGCTCGGCTCCGCAGCTACCCCGGCCTGGCCGCCACTGCCGCCGCCGCCCCGTCGGGCCCCGAGGCGGAGTTTGCAACTGACTTGAAAGTTGCACTGACCTAACTTCGGTCCAATCCCCGGGGCCCGAGCTGGCGCAGGCGCAGTGCGGGCCCCGCAGCCCGGAAGGCCGCGACTGAGCGGCGGCAAAGAAGCGACGCCTTAAAGGGACCGCGGCCTGGCCGAGCTGGCGGGCTGCAGGAGCAGGGATCCTGGAGAGGCGCTAAAGGGAGCGTCGGAGAAAGGACTGTGGGATTTTTCACTTTGGGAGAGATCTTGGCCAGTGTAGGACCACCGAGCTAGAGGTGGAGAGGAAACCAAAAGCCTGATCCAACCTGCCTCATTTTTCCAGTGTGGAAACTGAGGCCCAGGGCAGTGAAGTCTCCCACATAAGGAGTAGCAGGATTCGAACTGGTGTCCTCCAAACACCAAATACCCTGGCTGTTTCCACTGTGTCGTGTGGAAATATATTCCTTCTGCTTAGCCTTACTTTTTTTATTATTTCAACTAATTTAATTAATTTTAAATTATTTCAAAAATAATTAATGATTATTAATGCATTATTTACCATTTAATAAATTTATTGTTAACATTCTTTTCTTTTTAAATTTTGTGTTTCAAGTTCTTTCCCATCCTTCCCCACTTACTGAGAAGCCAAGCAAAATGTTATCAATTATACATGTGAAATCATGCAAAACCTATGTTCATATTAGCCATATCACAGAAAAAGGCAAAAAATAAAAAAAAAAGATCTATTTATGTTTAGCAAACGATTAATGAAATGATTTGAAGTTAATGGGACAGATGATGTACCGGAAATTCATTTTAATTAACTCTAATTAACTCCCAACTTAGGCCCCTATTTCAAATCCTGTCTTTGTCTTTCTACATTTTGCGAGTTCCTAGATCTAGAGTAGCAAGTCTACTCAGGAAGTCTCCTAGAAGTCCAAATTGAGGCTGTGGGCCTGGAACCATAGGTAGCACTAGTCCGAGTCTGAATTTGAACTCAGGTCTTCCTGACTCCAGGCCCCAAGCTCTATCCACTGCACTACCTTGCTAGGATTTGTAGATGGGACTTGAAGGAAGCCAGGGAAGTAGGAGAGAGAAAGTATTGGGGGCTTGAGGACAGCCAGAGGAAATGCCCAGTGTTGGTGTCTTTTTGTTGGAGGAACGGCCAGAAGGCCAGTCATAGAATAAATGGGGGAGAGTAAAATGTAAAAACACTGGAAAGGTAAGGGAGGAGGGCCAGGTTATGAAAGGCCTTGAATGATAATGGAAGATTTTTCTCTCTGATGGGGGGGGTGATAAGGAGTGGTGGAGTTCATCGAGCAGGGAGGGACTGGTCACACCTGTGTAATAGGAAGATTGCTTTGGCAGCTGAGTGAGGGATAGACAGGATAGGGGAGAAACTGTAGGCAGACAGGCCCACCTGCCCACTGTTACAATAGTCCACAGAGCCTGCACCAGTGTGCTGGCCGTGAATGATCATAAGGCTTGTTGGTTGTTCAGTTATGACCCCATTTGGGGTTTTCTGGGCAGAAATACTGGAGTGGTTTGCCACTTCCTCCTCCAGCTCATTTTCCAGAGGAGGAAACTAAGGCAAACAGGGTTAAGTGACTTGCCCAGGGTCACTCACTAGTAATCAAGGCTGGATTTGAACTCGGGTCTTCCTGACTCCAGGCCCAGCATGCTATCCGTTTCACCACCAATGCTGCCTTGAAGGCAGGCCCTGTTGTCTTATTTCATCTTCGCATCCCTAACACCCAGCAAAACACTCTCCTTACACTTTTGGGGAGGAGAGAGGTGGGGTGAATCTGAGGGTCTGTACCTATGATTTCATTAGTGTAGGGAACTCTGGGTGTGGCTGCAGATCTTGTAGTGCTTTTGGAGACAGATCAGGAGCTGGGAGAGGTTAGTAACTTGCCATCTGTCACAGAGCTGGTGTGTGAATGAGAGGACATGAACCTTTGTCTTCTTGACTCCAAGGCAGCCTATTTTTCCTACAGACAGCAGACACAATGAATATTTGCTTTCATTGTAGTACCTTAAATTCCACTGGATTTCTAGGCCTCTTCCCTCATCAGCCTCAGGTTGACAGTTATTATTCTTGTCCAGCCAAAAATAGGATGAAAAATAGGTTTGGGGAGGGGGAGAAGGCTTGAGGGGAAGGAAGAGAGGGCCTTTGACAGGGAAAGTAGGAAGGCACCTAGAAACAAGCATACCTTTGCCAAAGCATGCCCTGGGTCAGAGGACCTGACATAGAGTCATTCCTCAGACATCTTCTCATTTCTCACCTGGCTACACTCATTTTGAACTTCCTTGATTCCCTCCCAATCCCTATTTCCACCCAAGTTTCTTTTGTGAGTTGTCTTCTACAGTAGATAGAGTGCTGTGTCAGAAGTCAGGAGATTGTTTTATTGGGCAGTCATTTTAGTTGTGTCAGACTCTTTGTGACCTCATTTTGGCAGGTGAACTGGAGGAGCCTGCCATTTCCTTCTCCAGATCATTTTCCAGATGAGGAAACTGAGGCAAATACGGTTACAGGATTTGCTCAGGGTGACACAGCTAGTCAGTGTCTGGTAAGTGTCTGAGGCTGAATTTGAACGCAGGACTTCCTGACTTAAGGCCCACCTGCCTTTCCACTGCTGCCACCTAGCTGCCCCCAGGAGTCACCTGAGTTCAAATCCAGCCTCAGACACTTACCAGCTACTCACTAGCTGTGTCACCCTGAGCAAATCCCTTAACCCTATTTGCTTCAGTTTCTTCATCTGGAAAATAAGCTGGAGAAGGAAATGGCAGACTCCTCCAGTATATCTGCCAAGAAAACCCCCCAAAATGGGGTCACAAAGAGTCCGACATGCCCAAACTATAACTACAATTCTATTGTAAGCTTTTTGAAGAGAGACTGTTTTCTTTCTTCCTTCCTTCCTTCCTTCCTTCCTTCCTTCCTTCCTTCCTTTCTATCTTTCTTTCTTTCCTCTTTCTTTCTTCTTTCTTTCTTTCTTTCTTTCTTTCTTTCTTTCTTTCTTTCTTTCTTTCTTTCTTTCTTCCTTCCTTCCTTTTCCCCCTCCCTTCCTTCCTCCTTCCCTCCCTTCTTTCCTTCTTTCTTTTTTCCTAATATTTGTTTCTCCAGAACAGTGCCTGGCACATAATAATCTCCTAATAAATGCCTGTTGAATAGCTGACTCTGAGGCCTGGTATAAATTCTCTCTTGTTATCTCTCTGAAAAATGGAGAAAATAGCTAACTCCCCCTTCTCCCACAAAAGGATGTGGTAGGGATGAGTGACATCATGTCTACACAGGACTCCTAAGAGAAAGGGAGGGGTGATTATTATTTATTAAAAGCAATATTTAACTCCCACCTATTTCCCCCTGGGGGAATGGAAGAGTTAATGTAAAGTGCGGTGAAAGGCTTCTGGGAAAAGGCAAGCTTCTTGAGACAGGAGGTAAATACATGCTGTCCATCATCATGCCATTGTTAATTATTATCATCAATTTTATAGGTACCACTGGATGTGAGAACCGGTCATGAAACCTACCAGAGAAAACTTCCTCAGGGACCTCCCCTCCCTTACCCAGCTGGGCCAGTGTCCATGACAAGAGAAACTGACCATTGCCTGGGACCAGATTACTACTACTGAGGACTTTTGGACCATGTGGAGGGGCCTGTGGATAGATTCTTGAGGGTCCACAAGCTCGAATAGGAAAAAAAAGTTTATCTTTATTTTCTGAACCTTTGGTTTCCTTTGTAATTCTACACATTTTATTTTACGCATTTAAGAACATTATTCTGAGCAAAACATCATTCTAAGGGGAGAAAAAAAGGTAACAAACCCCTGCTCTTGGATCATCTGAAAGTGGTGTGTATTTCCTCAAAGCAAATCACATTATCTCTTACTTGCTTCAAAAGAATCTTCCAGGTGAAAAAAAAAAAAGATTAAAATGAATGTAAAGGGTAATACTAAGAGGGAAAATAAGAGAACAAAGGGTAGTCTCTGAGTACCAGGAAGCCCAGAGAAAGGGAGGGGACACATCTTTCTCTTAGTTGACAGCATGGGAATGAGTGCTGACTGTGAAATAATTTTTAAAATGTATTGTTTTTGTAGTTTTTCAGTCATGTCTGATTCTTTGTAACCCCATTTGGGGTTTTCTTGGCAAAGATATTGGAGTGGTTTGCCATTTCCTTCTCCAGCTCATTTGATGGATGAAACCTAGGCAAATAGAGTTAGATAACTTGTCCAAGGTCACACAGCTAGTAAATAAGGCTGAATTTGAACTCAGGTCTTCCTGACTTCAGGTCCCGCATTCTATCTACTGTGCCACCTAGCTGCCCTGAATTTAAAAAATGCTTCATATCTACATAGTACTTTAAAGAACTTTCACATCCATTCTCCCTTGGTCTGAGGTTTCTGGCTGATCTTTTTGGGGGTGATGTTGCAGGGGGGACATTTATTTATTCAAGTATGGGTTGGATTAAGTGGCCAAGGAGGTCCTTCCAAGACTGAGATTCTGTTGGAAATTGAGGGGGTGCCCTTCAATTGTGGAATGGCTGAGCAAGCTGTGGTATGTGAATATAATGGAATACTATTGTTCCGTAAGAAATGATGAGCAGCAGATTTCAGAAAAACCTGGAAAAACTTAAATGAACTGATGCTGAATGAAGTGAGCAGAACCAGGAGAACATTGTACACAGTAACAGCCACATTGTGTGATGACTGACTTTGATAGACTTAGCTCTTCTCAGCAATGCAGTGATCCAAGACAATTCCAAAAGACTCGTGATGGAAAATGCTATCCATATCCAGAGAAAGAACTATGGAGTCTGAATGCA